ACGTCTGCCCCTGGCAAAGCCTTAATGTATGAACAAAGAAAGGAATTGTTCACACAGCAAAACATACAATGAGAAATGAATATCAGTGGTGGAAACTTCTCTGTTAAAGGAAAATTCAGATCATTTCAATGTTTACATTTGCAACTCCAGCATATTGACAGAGCAATGAAAATAGATGGACCCTAGGAAATGCAGGAAGAAAATTATTTGTCCAGATGCTGCAAAGATATTCTAGTACGTGAAAAAGGAAAATGCATTTTTGCCATATTTGGTAAACTGAATCTTATTAAGAGGACAAACCTCATGTAAAAGGAAGATAAGCAGAAATTGATTTGAATATTATTGCCAGGCAAAGTAAATAATCATGATGCATTCAACCTTTATAAATGTGCAAAAACAGATTAATTTTCCCAATTACAAACCTTAATAATATTAAATGACTTTGAAAATATGAAATTGGATAAGAGATTGATGATAATGATAATCCACAAATGTGTTCTAAGCGATATTAATAAATGTTTAGTTAAACAAAGAAGGGAGGGGATGGGGAAGAGAGGAAAAATGCTGAGTAAAAGTTAATATGCCCAAGACTTCTCAAATCTTTAAAGGCTAATATACATTCTGAATCTCCAAATAGAAATAGAAGATGCAATGTTTTCCAAACTTTTTTAACCTGGAAACTCTTTCACAAAGCACCTTGCGGGACTAAGGGTTCTGAGGAGCACTGAGGTAACTAAATGTCTTCCCAATTTATTTAGACTTCCAGTTAAACTGAGTTGCACATTCTATACTAGACATTGCTACAATGGCCAGTGTTGAAGTCTAATTTTATACAAATGGATAAAGGGTTTAGCAAAATGCAAGTAGAGGTGCTACTATACTCCAGTTCCTGTAACTCAGGTCTCCATTGCTGAGGGTTATAGGGGCTGTGCCAGAGAAAAGTTGACCAGATAGTTGCAAAGAAACATTATCATATGGTTTCATAGTATATTGGTAAAGTCACTATAATCCAGCCCTAAAACCTTGACTTCATCATGACCCATATCATAACATCAATTCCCTACTTATAAACTCATATTAGTTTAAAACTTTTTACTAAAAAGAAAAAAGAAAAATTACCAAGGTGGACCAGACATCCATATCCTGTGCCTAGGACATCTTCTCCTTGTAGATCAATGTAACTTGGGAAGCCAAACAAAAACCAGAAGGTTATTTGGTGAGCATGAATCTGATCAAAAGGAGCCAGCAATACAACCTTCATGATTAACAGCATTCTATGGCTTGGTGGTTAAGAGCTATGGCTGCTAGCAAAAAGGTCAGCAGTTCAAATCCAGCAGGCGCTTCTTGGAAACCATATGGGGCAGTTCTACTCTGTCCTGTAGAGTTGCTATGAGTCGGAATCAACTTGAGCAACAGGTTTGTTTTTGTTTTTGTTTTTTTTTAATCAGGCTCTGAAGGAGCCCTGGTGCCACAGTGGTTAAGTGCTGCTCTGCTAACCAAAAGGTCAGTGGTTCAAACACACTAGCAGCTCCTTGGAAGAAAGATGTGACAATCTGCTTTCTTAAAACTTATAGCCTTAGAAATCCTATGGGGCAGTTCTGCTCTGTCCTACTGGGTTGCTATGAGTCAGAATCAACTCCACAGCACACAACAATATAAGGCTCTGGGAGCCTGATCCACCCAACTCCAAAGTGGGTCATGCCTCTCTCAGGTCAAGCCTAGGCCATGGTAAAGAGTCACATAAGCACTGCCAAGTGTTTCTCTTCTCATGCTGTTCTTCCATGTTTGTTGCCAGAGAGCTCCTTTGGACTAAATGCATTCTTCTTTAGCTATGGTAATGCAGTGTAATCTGATTTAAACATTATTATGAATTGAACTGTGCCCTAAAATGTGTGTTGGAATTGTAACCCCTATTCCTATGGATGTAATCCTGTTTGAAAATAGTGTTTTCTTTGTTATGTTAATGAGGCCATACCAATATAAGGTGTCTTCTAAACTAATCATTTCTGATTTTTTAAAAAAGCAGATTAGAAAAGGCACATACATACTGGGGAAGACAGATACCATGAGAGGATCAGTAAGAACCAAGGAATACCTGGAGTTACCAACAAGGAAGGAATTGACACTGTGAAGACCTTGATTTGGACTTTAGCCTCCAGACTGTGATAAAACAAATTTCTGTTCTTTAAAACCACCCGTTGTGGTATTTCTGTTATAGGAGCAGCAGAAAACTAAGAGAGACATGATGTTAGACATAATGTTATAGGCAGATTTCACCTAAAGCTACACCCTAATAGATAGGTTGGAGGAATCTATTATTACCCATCTATAAAATTATTTTCCATAATTTCATTCTCGAAGAATCATCTTATTTTTACATTTTGAGAATATTTTCTTTCTTTCTTTCTTTTTTTTTTCTGGCTACAGGTAGAATCCGGTAAACCCAGCCTTCTCCATTGCATCACCACTTGTCCAGAGGTGTCAGTTGATCTGTTAGACACTCTACCACATACGGACACATGTACTACAGCTGCGTGTGCCCCACCCATAGCCCTTAGGCATTTGCCATTCCTATGCAGCTGAGTTGCTTCTTACAGCAAGCACCTGGGAATCTCTGCCTAAGGATTTTTTCCAGTTATGGCAAAAAGCAAGTCAGACCAGAAGTGCTGGAGAATTAACACCTCTGGGAGTGGCCTGCAACCAATGACAAACAAACTCCAGCTTTGCAACTCCAGATACGACAACCATGAAGTTTATTTTACATCATCTCCCAGGGGTCCCCAGTAGACTGAGCCACAATTGCCCACAGTGTTAACCTGCTTGTTAAACCCATCATATATTGTCTTCCTTTCCCTGTTTCACTTCCTTGCTTCCCCACTAGTGCTTTCTAGGATTGCTTCCCAAATAAACTACATGCACCTCAAATACTAGTCTCAGAGTTCCAGGGGAGCCCAACCTAAGACCATGTAACTATAGGGTTGAGTTAGAAATCTAGTCTAGACCCAGAAATGTTTTCTTTTTTCCCCAACAGATCAATTTATTTTAAATCATTTTAATTATTTACGCCTGGTCTTGTGTATCTGCAGACTTTCAATTTACTCTTATGTTATTGATCAATCCATGACATGTATCAGCTAATCTACCTTTCTTGGCAAAATCATTCTTGAAAACAAATGAGTCAACATTCTACCTGCAGTTTGGTCCAGGTGTAGATCATACTGCCTGTGGCATAAGAGAGAGTCAAATAACAAGGTCCAAACAGCTTGGCTACCAAAGTGTTCGTAATATGACCAAATAAATTGAGCCCTGAAAAGTTCAAACTCTGTTTTTCCCTTCCCTTGCCTCGGATGAAGTTTCCCATTATTATTATTTTTTTTTTTTTTCAGTTTGTAATTGTAGTGCATTACTTTAAATAGAATATAACTTTCATGGTGTTATACGTGCTTAATCATTAATTACATTATGGGAAATTTTGAAATAAAAGTAAATAAATGATAGCAGCATGGATCAAATAGAGAGATCCAGGCTCTCTCCTTGGCCATTCGCAGTTCTGTTATCGCACTTAAAACGGGAGGGGGGTTGCATTTAGTTTTTTAAGAACAGAGCACTCTGGGCGGAGCCCTGCTGAGGCAGTGGTTAAGAGCTACCGCTGCTAATCAAAAGACTGGGAGTTCAAATCCACCATCTGCTCCTTGGAAACCCTATGGAGCAGTTCTGCTCTGTCCTATAGGGTAGCTTTGAGTTAGAATCAACTACACGGCAACGGGTTTGGTTTTCGGTTTGAATACTCTGGGTGTATCTCAAAATGGCTACCTTCTCCCATCTCGCGGGAAGCACAAGGGGATTTTTTTCCAGTCTTCACAGTGACAACCTTATGGGGCTCCTGGAGGAAAAACTCACCAAGTGTAGGGACCTACCCAAGGATGCGTCTCCAGGAGTTTTTCTCTCTCTAGCTAGTACACACTCAGTCTCTAGCAATTAGTTAATTAACCTTTAAGTATTCCTACTCAATGCTGGGTCTAGCTGCAACGGTTCTTGCTCCCGGTAAGTGGTCATTTTTTGTATATGCCTATATCTGCAGTTTTGGAGGCACTGTGCCCTGTTACCTCAATTCTCTGATGGAGCTTAAGAGAGTTACTTATTTTCAGTTTTTCAGCTTTTTGTTCTGAGTTTAGAAGTGACAACTTCCAAGCTCTTTACATGTCCGACTGGAAACATAGTGTTTTTAAAGAATCTAACTGTAAAGTTAGATTCTAACTACCAAAAATTATTGACAGTTATTGTTAGTAAATTGATAGAAATTATTATTATTTAAATCACAGGGAAAGATTTGCTGCTAGATTCTAGCCGCTGGAGTAGGCATGATTCTTTGCCCTCTGCCCCCGCCTCTAGTATTTGGATTAGCTTTAGGCCAGTTTTAGGCTAACAGTGCTTTAAAGGTAATTTCACATTTAGGACAGGATGGAAATTCAGAAGGAATAATGTTATTTCTATTTATTTTATGTTTTTAACTTAAATGTCCAAATTGGAACGTTTACTGCAATGATCCGTAATGTTAATATAGGAAAGAGCACAGTTCAGTCATGTTTTGACTTAAGGAAGCTTGCTACTTACGTTGAATCACTATTCTTTTATTAGAGGGCAAGGAGCTGAACCTGGAAAAAGCATGGTTGGTTGATGAGTTAAGATAGCTCTTTGGAGTGATAGTTTAGGGTAGATTGGTCTAATTTATAGGATGAAATGGCCTGTACAATACAAAAAAAGTATGAGAATTACTAAAAGGCCCATAAAGACCTTTAAACGTTAAATGGCACTGAGTTCCTTTATGTAAATTAATCAGAAATACATGAATTTTATAATTCTTAGACTTATTTTTAAAATGAAGGAGAACTATGCCTTCCAGTTTTCTGAACTTAGCTTTAAAAAAAACAACAAAAAACTCCACACTGTTTAAGAAGCTACAAGCACAGCAGGTGGTTACCCTACTAAAGAGAACTTACCCTTTGAAAGGTGTTGTCACTGATCATGGGAGATTGTGGCATTTTATTTTGTAACTTTCAGTCTTCCCCTAGAAAACAAGAAAAAACAACCGTGAGTTAACATTTTCCCGTAACCTGTAAGTAGAAGATGAGTAAGTAAAAAACAAACCCAAGCTAGCATTCAATAGCTTGAAAGAGAATTCAAATTAGATTCTAAAACTCAGGCTAGATTCTAAATGAAGCTCAGCCTTGGGCCACTCTGACACCTGCTAAGTGCAGTGGCCCTGGTAGAGACTACTCTCTGTTGTATTGCTCTTCCAGTTTTCTGGATCCTAGCCTCACTTCTCTTAGCAAGTGCCAATTCATCCTAATTTGTTCTCTCAAATATTCCACATCCTTAGTCTGGTTTTCAAGATGTCTTAGCAAAATAACCTTTGATCTTCTTCGTTTTTCTTTGGGAATAAGCCTGTGTTCCCAAACTCTTTCATGTATAAAATGTCATTTGTTGATCTACTTTCTGGCTACCTCTGGTAGAATACCAAATACAGGAAATAGATACTTGCCAAATGAATTCAGTAATCATTACTCAGTAATGAAAAGCAATAATTATTCTTATTGATAGTCATCATTTTCTTTCACATAACCACGAGACTCCCATGGCATTGTGTCCTTGCTCAATGCTTACGATGTATGGAAACATTTCACAGAAGAACTGAAAAAACAAATTTATATGACTGGGCTCTCATAAATCCTAGATAACATGATAGGTATCTTTTATACAGAATGATTTTTGTTTACATGTTCTTTTTTCAGACTGTTCTCTGCAAGGTGTTTACCATTATCCTGATTATTTAATCTTGTCAGGATCTGTGACTTTCTGCATTTGGTTATTGTGTGATTGCAGAGATATATTTGCCTTACTCCTGACTGTTTAAATATCTAGATGTAGTTAACTAGACTGAAGCATGGTGATAAGTTACATTTATTGAACACTTCCTATTTGTAGGCGCTGTGCCAAGTGCTATATTTATACTTATTATTTTACTTAATCCTCTCAATAACCTTATCACTTATCCACATTTCACAAATATAAAAACTAAGGCCTAGATTAAGTACCATGTATAAGGTTGTATAACTAGTCCTTTGCAGAATTGGAATTCAAACTCATTTTGACTACAAAGCTCAAAATAGGAAATTTTATCCAACTTCTCAACTCCTCCTGAACTAGTAATTTCAAAGAATATACTTAGAAAATATTAATAAACTAGAAATAAGTTACCAGCTGTCACGATCCTCTCGTAGCTCACAGATTGCACCCTTCTACCATATAAATACACATCAACAACAAACATTTGGGTATGCTTCAGCGTCAATTAAAAGAAAATACAGAAAAGAGAACATGAGCATTTGCAGTTCAAAATCATCTTCTATTCTTCTCACAAACACCTTCTCCTCCTCCAAACCAGTGTCAACTAGGAGTTACTTGTTCCCTTGTTTTCAACTATGTGGCAGGTCATGTTTGTCAAACATTTTTGTTTGCCTTTTATGTGACTGAAATGAGCAAATGAATTGGTTGCCCTCCACTGGCGTGCTGGGGCATATGGGGATGTACCACAAATGTTTTCTGGGTGTGCTGCCAAATTTTGAGCAATGTGTAAAATGTATTTTGGTTACAGCTAAAGATACATATGGTCATTGCAATGTCTGTCAGATGGAATACAGAGCAAAAGGGGTCCTGTGATTCACTCTGGAGCAGGTTAGCACTTGCTGAGAGAAAGAAATAAAAAGCTGGTCGGTGTGTTTTCAAGCTGGCTTCAAAGTAACGTGGTGGATTCCTTAGAAATTCCCAGGGCTTTGACACATGAGTCTTTAAGAAGGCATTTAGCTGGGAAATAATCAGTTATTCTCAAGCAGAGACCCATTGCTAAAGGGCAACCCGCTTGAATCCGGGGATGGCTATGGCTGCTTTTATAGATTTTGTGAGATGTTGTATTATTAATGTGAGCATGTGGTAGTATATAGGTGGTAACTCAAATTCAGAAAGTTCAAGAACCACTGAAATAGAGCGACTACTTTTGAATTTTGCTTATAGGGCTGAGTTTAGGGGGAAAAAATTCTTCCATCCATTTTTTTCCAGTGACTTTTTAATATTCCAGATAACCGGTGCCTTCTTTCTGTAATTTTCCTTGGCCCCACTATTTTACCATACTCCTGTCTGACCTATTGAATAGTAATCCTATATTGCCATACTATTTTCTAACTGTATCTCAACAGCCCAAAACAACTTGATTACTGGGAATAATTCACGGCTTGATAGTCTGATAGCATTATTGTTGTTACCTGCCATCGAGTCAGTTCCAACTCATAGCAACCCTGTGTACAACAGAACAAAACATTGCCCCATCCTGTGGCATCCTCACAATCATTGTTATGCACGAGCCCATTGTTACAGCCACTGTATCAGTCCATCTTGTGGAGGGTCTTCCTCTTTTTCGTTGACCCTCTCCTTTACCAAGCATGATGTCCTTCTCCAGGAACTGGTCCCTCCTGATAAAATGTCCAAAGTATGTGAGACGGAGTCTCATCATCCTTGTTTCTAAGGAGCATTCTGGCTCTACTTATTTCAAGACAGGTTTGTTTGTTCTTCTGGCAGTCCATGGTATATTCAGTATTCTTCACCAACACCATAATTCAGAGGCATCAGTTCTTCTTTGGTCTTCCTTATTTGCTGTCCAGTTTTCACATGCATATGAGGCAATTGAAAATACCATGGCTTGGGTCAGGTGTACCTTAGTCTTCAAAGTGACATCTTTATTTTTGAACACTTTAAAGAGGTTCTTTTGCAGCAGATTTTCCCAACACAATTATGTCATTTGATTTCTTGATTGCTGCTTCCATGGGCATTGATTGTAGATCCAAGTGAGACAGAATCCTTGACAACATCAGTCTTTTCTCCGTTTATCATGATGTTGCTTATTGATCCAGTTGTAAGGACTTTTGTTTTATATTGAGGCATAATCCACACTGAAGGCTGGAGTCTTTGATCTTTATCAGTAAGAGCTTCAAGTCCTCTTGGCTTTCAGCAAGCAAGGTTGTGTCATCTGCATATCAAAGATTGTTAATGAATCTTCCTCCAATCCTGATGATGCATTCTTCTTCATATAGTCCAGCTTCTAGTATTATTTGCTCAGCCTACAGACTTTTATTAGAAGCAGATCACCAGGTCCTTCTTCATAGTCTGTCTTAGTCTGGAAGCTCAGCTGAAACCTGTCCACCATGGGTGACCCTGCTGGTATTTAAAATACTGGTGAAACAGCTTCTAGCATCACAGCAACACGCAAGCCACCACAGTACCACAAACTGACCAATGGGCATTGGTCTGATAGTGTTAGTAACCTAAATATCGGAGATTTGTACATTTCATAATCAGTTCTAAATTGTCAAATGAACAAAACATTCAAACTGATATTGTATGCTTAGATACTGCCATTGATTGAAAGAAGACTACGCATCCAGCTACAGAAATAATCCACAAATAACTATATATATATTTTTTCCAACTTTCTGGGGGAAAAAGGTGTTTATGAAGAAAGCCCATTTCTTATCTAAGTGATTAAATGTTGAATGATTGAATAATATTTTCTCAGATATTAGAAAAGGACACCATTTGTAGCATAAAAAAAAAAAAATCATGCAGCATTGCAGTTTATGCACCTATCTTTTTTCTGGAAGATCACATTTTTACACACTATGTGCCTGTCTCCCACCTATCTTCACAGAGCTTTCATGTTGTTTTTTTTTTTTTTTTAATCAGAATGCAGAAACTGCTCCGCAAATGCGAGCCTATATTTGCCATAACTGTAACATTATTCTTAGCCAAAAGCACAAAATTATATTTGTATGGCTCATCTCCAGATCCTACTGGTTGCCCTCAGTGAATGTGCTAATTGCATTTCTTAGCTATCCATTTTCTTATCTTAGCCTTTGTGGTTTTATGCACATTTGACTAAATGTTACACTTTCTTGTGTTTAGGTTTTATTTGCATGACACCAAAGTGTGAGTCAGTTGGCTCATTGCATTTTGCATACATTGTGCATAATGAATACTAAAGCAAAGATTATCTTTTCATGGAGCAAAATGAAAACATGTGTTTCTCTGCCAGATCTGCTTTGACTTAATACAGAGGAACCTAAAATGTAGGGCAGTATATGGTAAAGTAATCTTCCTACAATCCAGTCTTCTTAGTAATGGGAGACTTTGTTTCTTGTCTTCTTTTATGTTATACATACCTCATTATTCTTTAATTTCAACAAGTGACATCCAAGAAAATCCTACCTAAATTCTTCAATTTAATAAAAGTGTGAGGTGTGATGTTTGTGTATGTGTTTCTGTAAGTGTGTGTAATATGGTTACCATATGATTTGCACTTTGATAAAATATGCTGTATATGTTTTATTGCATATAATTCAGATTTGCTCTCAAAAATCTAGAAAAGAGAAACAATCATAAGGGAAAAAAAAAACCCGAAATCTTAATTGTATTGACATATTTTTTAATTACCATTTTTATGCTAATTCTTGTCTGTAATAAAGCTTTCTGCCTGTTCCTGCCTCGGTGCCATTGTTTTCACTATTGTATGTTTACAATATGTTTTAATACCTAATATTGCAAACACCCCCTCATTACTTTTAATGGAATTGCCTTGTATCTCTGGGCAATTTGGAAAAGAACTTTGTGCCACCATCCAATATAGAAAAATTTTTTAACCTGGGCTTGCTCTGTTGCTTCTGCTGCCCACTTTGGAAAGAAACTCAGCCTGTGCAGGCTTTCTTCTTGGAGCAGAACCTGCCGTTGGGTTTTATTTTTTATTTGATTCCTGGCTTGCTTATTAGGGGTCCCTGCATCCTGTTCAATGACCCTACCCTTACCTCACCAAGTTACGGGCTGTTCAGCTTTCCTCAACTTACTTCCCAGGCACCCGGCACTTTCACAGGAGGGAGAACATAAAGCTTTAATCTAGTCCAATGTGTAGTTCTAGCAGAAAGTCAATGATGCTTCGGTTCTGTGGAGAGTAACTTCCGAAGTTTA